GCAGGGTTAAAGGAAGCTGCCGCCAGCATCCGCGCCTGGCACCGCGGGTGGGGAGCGCCGGTGGCCGTGGGGGTGGACACGTCACTCCATCTCCGTCTTCACCCAGAAGCAGGACGGTGAAGGGCGCTGATGGAGGAGCTGTCCCCGAAGTCCCTCCGCTGGCAATCAATAGCATTTTATTCTGATTTATGTATTACTCTGCATGAGCAGCGCCCGCATGCAGGCGCGTCGCTGCCAGCCTTTCTCCGTCCGCTCTCCCAGCTTGCGGCGAGCCTGCCTTGCGTTGCCCCGGTAGGCTCCGGTAAACACGGCATCGCTGCCGGTTCTGACCCTCCGCCAGGTGACGAGTTCGGAGTCCGGTGCTTGCAGGAGGCTGGAGACACAAACCCGCCGCTGGTATCCCCTCTCCTCCGGTGCGTGTGCATTGCTGTGCATGTAGGAGCTAGTTTTGCAGTTGGGGAGAGCGCAGGGGCCTTGCGCACGGGGCTGCGCGTGGGCTGATGTTTGCTCTCGGGCCTGATGCAGCAGCTCTGTTCAGATGAAACTGGTTCAGGTGAGCTAGGCGGACTGCACCTTAAAAATATTTCCAAATGTTTAGATATTGCATTGCCAAACTCGGCTTTGCGGGTTGGACAAAGACATAGCAAATGTTTGCAAATAATGTAATGGCAATTCATGGAAGGATTTTTCCATATTTACCTTGCCGTCACACATTCAAAACAAAGCCATGCCTTTTTCAGAGCATAAAAGAGGCATTGCAGTGAGACAGTCAGCTCATGCATGGTCAGAAATAGAGCAAAAAGCCTTTAAACAAGCACGTGTAGCAGAAAGAACATTTAGAACAATTTGCAGTAATTACCAGAAGGCCCCGTCTATTCTGCTTATCTAGCTGTCACAAAAATCTTTTTTCACAGGTCTCTTGGGCATACGTGGTGAAACTGAAACCACAGCTTAGTGGAAGATGGGCTACCCAGAGTGTGGTGTCCCTGCGAAGGGACTGGGTAACGTGAGCATGCCAAGATACTCGTGAAGGGGTAATTCCAGGAGTGCTTCTCTGGAAAAAGCCCGGATCTCATGTCGCTTATAAAGATATGGGGGCTGGGGCTTTCCCCTATGCCGGTCCAGCGCTCCAGGACCTGAGAATCAAACTGCCACCCGCAGTGTATACATTACCTTGACCAGCAGCGTTTCTGCGGACCAAGTACTGTGTTACTCCACTACATTCTGGTAGGGATCCCAAATGGAGCAGAACTGGCTTGCAGTTCATTAACCCATCTCTCTCTCTCCGTTTGTGGTTGCTTTGGAGCTTTCTGGCCCAGGGGAAAAGTAAGAATTTTTTTATATATATTTTTTCCCTTGGAGATTTTTTTCTTTTTCTTCTTTAGCATTCTTCTGTGAATTTGCACAGCCGCCAGGAGACACCCCCAGAGAGGCTTTCTTTGCACTGTTTCAGTGTAGCTCAGGATCTGGTGCTCTCTGACCTCTGCGAACGAGCATTATTTTTCAATTCCTGGTCTGGTTTGATTTCTGTGGGTAGATAACCGGATTTCAGTCTCCAGCCAAGTGTCTCAAACATGCCACTAATTCGAAAAATATGTGTGCCTATTGAAACTCGGATGTTTGGTGCTCATCCAAATCTTTATGCAAAAAACCCCACATGTAAACAGAATTATTGTAGTTACACATTAAACTGCATTAAACACTGGTTAGTTTAGGTCAAGAGGGTTATGAGCAGCTCCATAATCACATTACTGGGAACAGCGTGAGAATTAAATATTTTTTTGCATCCGTTTTTGCCTTAGAAAACAAGTCCCTACCTTAATGTGAAACTGGGCACCTTTGATTATCTGTGATTAGTCTGCATTGGCATGTAACTGGCTGCCTTTATTTCACTTACATTTTGCTGTTGTCTCAAATGACTGATTATACATTATTACTGAGTTACAGTCCATTTGGTATCACCAGCAGTCAGCTATGCTTCTCTCATCCTGAAAACATGATCAATTCCTTGCCAAGTACATACTTAAGCCTGCTACAGTTCTTGCTTTTAGGGAATGGTAATTAACAGAACAGATTACCTTGGCCAGGGCAATTAAGCTTTCAAAGGAAAGCCAGTTACTGATGAATAAAAAAAAAGATGTATATTTATCTGCACAATTCTTGATCCATGGCATAAGGTAAATAAACCAAGTTTTACATAATCATATTTCTTCAAAATATTCCTTTCCATTTTTTTAGTGGGGGCATTAGATTGACTTATGCGGACCTCTTTGAAGCCCACGTACACTGGGATGTTATATTTGACATTCAGCAACATAAAAGCCATCTCCAGATTATTTTAGTTTTTTGCTGCCTGGCAATTGAGTTGTATCTACATCTCTGTGAAACATCTCGATTTTGGGTAAAGCAGAGGAGGAGAGATGGGAGGTGAGAGCTGCTCACAAAAGACAGCGTGTCTACCTCTGAGGAAGGTGGTGGGTGCCGGGACTTGAAAAGATACTGCAGCGCAGTGACAAGGAGTACCTATAAGAGGGATCTTCATTGTAAGCTGCGAAGCCAATACAGCATCTACTTTTCCCATATATTTACTCACAGAATTTGAGAGTTAAAATGTGTTAAAGATGAGATTTATGAAAGCAAGTGGTGATTTCCGTATCTCAACTTGAGATATATTCAAGATCAGAGTTTTCAGAAAATGTTGCTCCCTCTTCCCCAAAGAGACTCTTCCAGACCCTCTTCTCTTGGGTATCTGAACGCTGAAACATGTGCAATTACTTGTCCTGTAAGGCAGAAGCATTTCTCCTAACTATAACCAAATAAGCTGTGTATCTAGTCTCTAAGTTAGATTTGTACACACCTCCTACGGTCAGGAGAGACAGAAACTGCAGAGGGTAACTCCTCTTCTAAGACACACTGCTGAGATGGACAGGATGACTCGGCCCCCAGAGGTACGTACCCCTTTTCCCACAGACTGAAGAGAGAGCTCCTCCTAATTTTTAGACTATGAATAATGCATAAATTTCTGAAAGCCAATACTGAAGTGAGATGAATACTACTAGCCTTAGCTAGTATCTACCTCCTCTATTGTCCACAGAGAAGGTGGTCTTAGTGATTACAGAATGTATACAGGGCGCTTATGCTTGTCCCACGCAGCCCAAAATTTGTGCGTTGGCTGAGCACTAGCCGTCGTGTCAAGGCCGATCACACACCCTGCCCAGGACACTTGCTGCAACATCACCTCCACACTCATTGCCCTCCTTTGTCTTTCAGCCCCTGGAGGAGTATCGTTACTTGTCCCACAACCCAACATCAATGCAACTGTGGCACAAAATATCCTCCTCTCAGTTGAATACTCTTGCAGAGGTGTCGCCACCATTGAGTGGAAGCACGTGTCGAGCTGGGGCACTAAAAAAATTGTTGAGTGGAAAAGCGGGAATTATGTTAACATATCCGCAGTCTACAAGGACAGAGTGACTATTTTTGAAAATGGCTCTATACAGCTTCTGAACGTGGGCGTGAGAGATGCTGGCTACTATTTTGTCACTGTAACAGAGGAGTATGGAACCAACATCTACGGGACCATCATAGTCAATGTTTACGGTATGAGCTAGATAGGAGTGCTTGGTTTTACCCTGTGTTTAAACATTAATCTGCTCATAATCAATTTGTAGTATTACATTTTTCTGTCCTCCCTGCAGAGATTATCTATGAAGATCTTCACTTTGTAGCAGTTTTCTTTGCATTTCTCACTGCGGTATCTGCCATTTTGATCTGCTTCATGTGGCTGTGTAACAAATTCGTGCATCTCTTCCAGAAGAAGACACACAAACTAACAGGTATCTCCCTAAGAATTCACTCAAGGTATGGGATTTTCAGGTCTGAATTTTGCGCTTAACTTTCACACGTGGTTAGAGCCGCAAAAGTGCTAAGCAGTGACACAGAGAAACAAGGTTGGGAGGGCAGACTTTTGGAGTAACATAATTCTGGATACTTCCTCTATAGTCAACGTATAGTCACCCAGATTCAAAGCAGGAACCTAATTCTTGTCCTCTGATCCCACCTTAGAAGAGCCCTACGATAGTCAATAGTCACTGAAGAAAGGGAAAAGGATCAGCCCTACAGACTTCGGATTAGTTTTGACGGTGTCTTTAGTCTTGTCCGTGAAGAAACCAGTGTCACTTTAAGGATGATGAGGGACTGTTTATACAGTTAAATGTTTCAGAAAGATGTTTTGTTTTTAAAATCCATTTGCCAATCAATAAAATTATCCTTTTATTTGCAGCAAGTACAACGGAAGAGATTGAATTGGAAACCATTGAGTGTTAGCCAAGAACCGTTTCTTAATAAAAATAACAGTTCTACCTCAGGAGAAAGTATTGGCAAGGAAAGCAAGAAGAAACCTAAAAGGTAAAGTGTTTGTGACTATTATAGAAACATCCTGACTTGTAAAGCTAATTAACATGAAATCAGCACTGTCTGATGGAGCTGTTTTTACCTGTTAAGATTTTGGCTCTACCAGTCAAGGTCAAAGTGAAAGAGAGCATGCTTTCATAGCTGAGCGTGAACACATTTCTGTGGTTAATTAATAAAATCTACAGCTTCTACCACTCTTAGCACAACCAACCAACCATGCCTCTAATACCAAAACATAGTGGAAATGATGATGGTCTTGAAGGACACCTGTGTTTTGGCTACGGCAAGTCTCCTATTACAGAGAGAACAGTAATTAGTATTCTTCAATGTAATAAACTTAGTATCTAATTACGGTACTACATAAAAAAAAAAAAATGGCAAGGATAGAGTCCTGTTCATTGTGCGTATGCTGCTACTTTTCGGCATGATCCTGAAGCTCTGAAGATAAACGGTAATTCTTCATGAGACAAAACGGACGTTGAAATAATGCCGAGCTGGTCAAAGTTCCATCAGTTACTTTTTCAATTGTGTACATTGCCCAGGGATGTTAACACACATTTTATGACTTTATTAGGGAAGGTTGTTAAATAAGGAACCACGCAGAGGTACGGAAGATTATGCTGCCTGTAATGATTAGAACGGTCAGATAAAATACTGACGCACCACACCAGTGGGGTGGGAGAATAATAAACAAACTGTTTTATTGTGAAAGATTGTTAAGTTCTTTGCAAACTTAGCCCACTGAAGAACAGTCTATCTGGTAAGAGAAGTTAACATAGCATCATTTTGAAATGTCGTATTTACAATTACGGTCCTGAGATCATTCTTGCTGAGAGAAGCCACGTTTGCTTTCTTATTTTGTAAGGAAATATGAAGTGATCTAACCAGCATTTTTTGAGTCTGTGAGCCTTAAATTTTCCAACTGCAGATCAGCTGGGTGGAATAACATTTGCTTTTGTGAGCGAGAAAGCACTAAATGGACTAAGCTTCAAATAATCCTGTTTTGCTTTTGTAAACAGAAGAATTTTGCAGTGTGAAATAAACTTAGACAGAGACTGTGGATTCGTCTGCATCTGTAAACTGCCACATGGCTCTCTGAGCCTAACTGCTGTTACCGCCTTTCTCACACTTTCAACTCGCTTGTTAAAGCTTTTACAAGGCAAGCGGACACACTTCTGCTCGCGGGGCATACTGCGCTCAGGTGCAGACATACTACGGGCTAGATTCATAAAAACAAAGAAATTCTCACTAGATGCCCAACAATGCTGATAGGTGCCAAGTAAACTTTTTCCAAAGCGCCCCATACATGTGATACCTTTAAAAAGTCAACTGTGAGTGAACAGTTAGTAGACCGAAAGGCCTCTCGCCCGCTCATAAATTCAGTGCCGGACGCAGCTGGTTGCTGCATCTACAAGAGGTCAGAACGAGTGAGGAACTGTAGGACAACCCCAGCTAGAGCTTGGCAAAGGAACAATTTGTTCCTATTCTTCACTTTAACTATACTATTAATCTTCTGTATCTGTGACTGACTTAAGCTTCGATGACACAGGAGCTACAAGCATGCCTGTTTTAATCACCAAACTTGAAAGTACTTTGTAGGACGTCCATATCGCATATGGACACTATGAAAGTTTTTTTTTCCTGTGCCTCTGTTTTCAATTACCATTTTTTTAATCCCTAAATCTCGAAACTTGAATGTGAAATTATTCATTAGGCTGAGTACGCAGTACATGCACTGCCAGACATATTTAAAAGGTATGAAAAGCGCTACTTACAGGAAAACACCACTATTATCTGCCAACATTTACCTGAATCCTGTCACTGTCAAGAGAAGAAGTCATGGAATGTATACACAGATGAATGACCTTTGAAAGCTTTGCTGTAAGGGTAGTTTTAAAGTGTAAGTGATCTCTACAGTATTTGAAATTTAGGATGAAAGTAGTAAATGATCACTCAAAATTCTTAAAGATAAAATACAACAGCAGTAAGAAGTCTCTAGCTAGCAACCTCTCTTGGCCTGGCTAAAAATATAGCAATTTCAGGCATCCAGCCTTAATGATTAGTTGGTACCAATCTTGCTTTTAGGTTGTAACATCCTAGACGAAGCACAGGGATTCAAAGAATATTCAGTGAAGATAGAGAGTACAGTTAGGTTTTGTACTTCTTTTCTTACAGACATCGTCTACAAGTCTTATCCAAAATTTAACATGCTTATGTAGGATAGGGTCACTTATAAAATGGTAATATTTTGTAAAACTAATTTTTCCGCAATATACATTAATAATGTCAGTAATATTTGACTTAAAAAACCCCATAAGGCTTAGCAGCCTGGAGTTCAATCTCTTGCTACAGGGGAAGTGACCAAAATATCTGAATTTCTATGGCAAGCTGCTAAAGTTGAAGTTTAGAAATTAGTAATGATTCTTACTCCCGTTATAAACTCCACAAACAGTGGAGAACAGCAGCAAAAGTGAATATTTAGAACATTCCAAGTGATCAAAGTGATTAAGGCATTTTGCATCTAACTTTAATTAAAGAGATGTCCAAGTTCATAGGACTGCTTTGGCAATCAATCCGAAGGTCTTAACCATCCATTAATGTCTCCATTTCATATGTTTAAAGACACATTGCCAAGAATTTCAAAATTCTCTCTCTCTCAAATTAGGAATCTGATATTCAGTCTGTTTTCCATTAGTGTTGAACACATAGGAATTCTCACTTTTAAAAGTCAGACTCTCAAGGTCCCTAATCATATTTTGCAATGCATCGAAGCCTGAAATAATTCTTCCTCTTTACTAAGCCTTTGTGCAGTGTCTGCAACACAAGAGAAGTGTTCCTCTTGCATCCATTAGCTCTTTTCAGAAGGGGACAAACCTTGCAATCTGAAAAAGCTAATAGCTCCACCATGATCTTAGTATTTGGCAATGAAATGCTTATTTGACAGAAAGGATACTGCTATGCACTGACCTGTTTAAGTTAAAAAGACTGAAGCGTGAAGACGTTATTTCAAGTTTATATATTTATCTTCCAAATGAGTGAGAGATTTGTTGTGTTGCCAGAGTCAACACAGTCCTATTATAGTCAGACGCAAGACAGATGCATCAGACTGTCAGCTGAATTTCCATCCACTGTTCAGTAAGTATAAATCCCTCTTTCTACCTGCAATCCTACAGCATCTACTAGCCAGGTAATATGGGAACAAGCATCATGTGTTGCATAGGTTCACTCATCTTTCAAGAAGATGAAGACACATACGCTATTTTGAACTGGTATTTCTTCATTTTCAAGAGTTATCCAAAACAATTTATGAGAAGCTGAAAGCAGAATCTTTTCTCTCCCGTAGTTCAGCTAGGCAGATATAAGTACCTCAAGGAACAGAAATAACCATGTGTTCCATACTGACAGGTACTACCATAAGCACAGCAGCTGCTTTGGATGCACGCTGAACAGCAGCTTACCACAAGCAGCTGCTTAATATATGTATTTCCTGTAGCTATTCTTTATTGCTCAAGAACATAGTACCATAGAAATATGATGGTTCAATTCAAACCTGCTCTACCCTATGTAAAAAGTTCTCATATATTTACACACACACACACCCCTTATAAACACATAACATGAACATAATTCTAAACCAGTTCTACAGACAGATTTCAAAAAGACCTTTAGCAATTAATCGTCAAACAAAATGAAAGCTTTGCGTAACACCTTAATAGAAACTACCAGGCAGCTACAATTACAACCGAAAAACAAGTCACATTACCTCTTTATTATTTTAAGAACTCAAAAGATGTCCTGGATGATACTAAGTACCAGGGCAGAAAAAAAAGAATAGCATGAATGTAGAGATCCAAGACATACTGCATGCAAGTTCCCAGCTTCTACCCAGTCATGAATTCTCACAAAAAAAAATTACCCACTAATTCATCAGGAGAATTTTGTAAGCAGAGAAAGACCCTTCCTTCTAACGCGCTTGCAAAAGACAGAGACAGAAATCACAACCAAAGTAGCTGACACCGTAGACTCATCTGTGGCCACCAGAGGTAGGAAGCTTGCCACAAGCTGCGACTTTCTAACACTTCCAAATCATTAAATACATCTCTCAAAAAAAGAAATGGAGTGGGTGACCCAGAGGCCACACCAAAGCACAGTTAACATGAACCCCAGCTCAAGAACTGCACACATAGTGAAGACTTGTTGCTCGAATCTTAAGTTTCTTTAAACCTTAACTTTTGATAAGAGTGCTCTGTTTCTCCTCCTTTCTCCCACTTCTAAATCAAACAAGTCCCCTATCTTCCAGGATAGCCAGTCCCCACAATAGAAGCCACCCAAAGGCTTATCAATAGCACAACGCAATTCTAATAATCTCCTTCATTCACTAATGCCTGTAAAGATCTACTGAGAAAGTCACTCTGAGCAGACATCTTTCACGCAGTAAAGGGCTACAGAATTTGGTTTGATAGAAGAAAATTACATGAATTACTCAGATATAATGTTACTCTAGACAGACACAGAACAATCTCCAAAGATACAGTTTTGCTACTGTTTGTGTGAAACAGTAAAGTAATATGTCATTTTATTTTTAAACTTTAACTGAAAGGAACTTTTTCAAAAAGTCTTATTTTTTTATGTCACCAAGAACATTTTATTACAAACATTCCAATAGACATAGCTGCACAGGAAAGGAATTTGTTTCCTTCTTGTCTTGCTCTATACGTTCCATTTTCCTCTGTTGTGCTGGCAGTGATCCTTCACATAGCAGAGACAATTTAAAGCCCTGGAGAAGCTGATGGGTTATTAGCAGGGAGTTAGGGCAGCCATGAGGAGTTCCATTTTATATACAAAGTTGCGCCCTTCCATTTTATTCCACTGCACTTCCTTGAATGGCCCCCGAAGATGATTCCATTTGTTGTCTTGCAGTACATCACCTTTGGGGAGATCCTTGCATTGACTCCGTGGAAACTGAACCATAACTTTGCTGCCACTTTCAGGACCATTACGTACTGTGATGAACAGAGATTTTATGAGCACTTTACATCTCAGAAATTCCTCATATTATACATTGCTCTTCATGTATGCTATTGATTACACAGTAATGTATTACAAACGTGCTGGAAATAAACAAGGAAAGTTCTCTTTACATACGTTGTTTTATTAAAGTTTTTCTCTTTGGATTTACTCTCTCTAGTTTCCCACTCTCCCCCACGATTCTTGTTGCCTTAGCACTGCACGTTCTTGGTTAGAGTAAACCAGAGAAATAATACAATTAAAAAAACCCAAACACTTAAAGGCATTTATTGTTCCTCCAATGATGTCAAGAACTCCTCCTGCCTTTTTTTTCCTCTCTTTTTTTTTTTTTTTAATAAGCAGTTAGGGAATAATGCTTCGTTTTCCCAAACAGCACAATCAAACTTAGTTAGCAAGGGATGAAAACTGCACTGCAGCATTATTTCAGATTTTGGAAGCACAGGGATCAGACACCTTATGCTTGGACCAAAAGTAACAAAACTAGATCAAAATCTCGACTCAGAAGCAACACCTCTGTAGCCTATATTATGTACATAAAGTTTTTGCATTACATATGGAAGGTCTTCTCAGAATCACAGAACAGCTGAGGTGGGAAGAAAGGGACCTCTGGCGGTTGCGTAGTCTAACCCCATACTCCGAGCAGGGTCAGCCAGAGCAGGTTGCTGAGGACCACGTCCAGTCCGGTTTTGATTACCTCCACAGAGGGAGGCTCTATAATCTCTCTGAGCAACCTGCTCCAGTGTTTCATCACCCTCACAGCAAAAAAAACTTTCTCTCATGAAATGTCTTGTATTTCAGTTTGTGCCCTTTGCTTCTTGTCCTGTCACTAGGCACCACCGAGAAGAGTCTGGTTCCATCTTCTTTACTCTCCCAAACAGGTATTTATACACATGGACAAGATCCCCTCGACCCTCATCTTCCCCAGTCTGAACAGCCTCAGCTCTCTCTGCCTGTTCTTACGTATATAACATGCTCCAATCCCTTAATCTTGTTCATGGCCCTGCACTGAACTCACTCCAATAGGTCCATGTCTCTCTTGTACTGGAGAGCCCAGCACTGGACACAGTGCTCCAGGTGTGGCCTCACCAGGGCCGAGTAGAGGGGAAGGATTACCTCCCTCGACCTACTGGCAGTGGTCTGCCTAGCTCAGCTTACAATGCCACCGGCCTTCTTGGCTACAAGGGCACGCTGCTGGCTCATGGTCAATTTGTTGTCCGCCAGGACCCCACCCCACCCCAAGTCCTTTTCTCAAAACTGCTTCCCAGCCAGCTGGTCCCCAGCCTGGTGCATGGGGTTATTCCTCCCTGGGTGCAGGACTTGACATCTCCCTTTGTTGAGCTTCATGAGGTTCCTGTCAGCCCATTCCTCCAGCCTGTCGAAGTCCGTCTGAATGGCAGAACATATACACTACCTAGTATAATCAAGCATTCCCCCCCGTTTTCTACAACCTGCAAACTTGCAGAGGGGACACTCTGACCCACCATCCAGATCATTAACGAAGATGTTAAACAGTACTGACCCCTGGTATTGACCCCCAGGGAAACATCACTAGTGATCGACCTCCAGCTAGGTCTGGTGCCGCTGATCATGTCATGCAAGCCCAGCAGTTCAGCAAGTTTTCAGTCCACCTCACTGTCCACTTACCTAGTCTGAACTTTATCAGTTTGGCAATGAGGATGTTATGGGAGACAGTGTCAAAAGCCTTACTGAAGTGAAGATAAACGACATCCGCTGTTCTCGCCTCATTCACTAAGCTAGCTATTTCATCAGAGATGGCTATCAGGTTGCTCAGGAATGATTCCCCTGTCATAAATCCATGCTGACTGAATCACCTTCTTGTCATTAATATGTTTGGAAATAGCTTCCAGGATTATTGTTACATCCCCTCTCCAGGGATCAGGTGAGGCTGACCAGCCTGTATCTCCCTGAACTCTCCTTTTGCCCTCTTTGAAGACAGTAGTGACATTTGCTTTCTTCTAGTCCTAAGGAATCTCTCCTGATCACCATGACCTTTCAAAGATACTCAAGAGTGGCCTCACAATGACATTGGCGAGCACCCTCAGCACTTGTGGATGCATCCCATTAGGCGCCAAGGACTCGTATATGTCAGTTAGTTTAAAGGTTCCCTAACCTGATCCTCCTTTAGTGAGAGTAAATCTTCCTTGCTCCAGATTTTCCCATGGGTCAGGGACCTGGGATTCCTGAAGGCTGAGAGGCTGATCTTACAGAAAAGACAAAGGCAGAGGCAGAGAGTACCTCAGCCTTCGCCATGTCCTATGTCACCAGGTTCCCATTGCACTGTGCAGCATGCCCACCATTTCCCGAGCCTTCCTTTTGCTGCTGATATACCTGCAGAAGCTCTTCCTATTGTCCTTCCTGTCCCTTGCCAGATTCAACTCCAGACGTGCTTTGGCTTTCCCACCCTATTACTGCACGCTCAGACAGTGTCTCTATAGTTCTCCTGGGTCACCTGATCCTGCCTCTCTCTCTTCTATGCTTCCTTTTATGTTTGAGTTTAGTCAGGAGCTCCTCTTTCATCCATGCAGATCTTCTGTCACCTTTGCATGACTTGTTGCATAACAGAACGGACCATTCCTGAACTCGCAGGAAATGATCCTTGGGGGGAAAAAAAAAAAACAAAAAACAAAAAAACCCACAATCAGTTCTCCTGGATTCTTCTTCTCTCCAGAGCGGTATTCCATAGGATTTTGCTAAGCAGATTCCTGAAGAGGCCAAATTCTGCTCTCCTGAAGTCAAGGGCTGTAATCCTGCTATTTACCTGTTCCCTTCTCTCAGGATCCTGACTGCTTCTGCAATTACTTTTTTTCTATGCTAATTGTAAGAAATATTTTCAAGCATGTATAATAAGGTAATATGCCATGGTTACATTAAGTTGCTTACTTGGCAAAATATTGATTCTATTTAGGTGCCAATTCAATACGCAAAAGAGGCTGTTTCTGGAAAAATGAGAATTTGTAGCAAAATATTCTATAGAAGTTTTAAGATTATTTTAGAAACATATGTACAAAGTCTGCAATACATTTTATATAAGTATATATAAATATATAGCTATCTACAGAGAGAGAGAGATACACACACAAATGTGTGTGTGAATTTCATATGCATTTGCAAGAGAAGTAGTACCTGAAATGGCATAGTCTCCATTTGGTGATGCTACAGTTATTGCTGATGCATTGCCAATGCTCTCCACCGGCCCCAGCCCAACGTGATTACTGAAACTCAGCACGTGCCATCCCATAACTTTTGCCAGCTGCTGAACTGCATGTACTTGGTGCTGTGACATCTGAAAGATAAGAGATTTGTCTTCTCTTTAATATTTGCACCACTGAATGAATTACATGTTGCTTTTACCCATCTTTTTTCTTCTGCTGCCCAGTAATTATTTATAAAAGTGACTTTGTGTTACACGTTCTCTAGTTTTAAAGGAACTGAAGGTATTTTTTTTTAAATGTTTATGCAATATACATGCCTTAGAATAGTTCCTTTGCAGACAGGAGATCACTGTATTAAGCACACACACACGCTAAATAGCTAGATAAATCTTTCATAGGCTTATGGGCTTTTGCATTTTATTTAAATATTGCTTTCTACAAACCAAAACCTTTATGTAGGTCTCAAGAACTTATTGAAGTGTTACAAATAGGATTTGGAAATAATACTTTCTTCTTGGAAGCGAGGAGACACCTCTGCTCTATTTGTGAGAATAAGTATCATCATGGCAAACCCGGAAAAATCGAAGCTGAGGTTCTCAGATGGATGATATACCCACTAATGTTCGAGCGCCAGTACTGCAGTTTCTATATTTTTCCTTACCAAAATAACTCTTGTAACAAGGAAGAGCCTAGCACTGTTCAGCCAAGTGGTTCTCCACGAACGAGTCTGAAAACACTTGATCAAAGCAATACCCTCAGAAGAATCTGTTTCAAGTAGGGTTTTTTTTGGCTTGTTTGTTTTTGTGTGTGTGTGTGTGTGTGCGCGCGCGTGTGTGCGCGTGTCATGGAGTTTCATGTAACAGCAGCAGGCCAGCCACTATTATCAAAGACCTGTATTTTGACTATTTATAATGCGTATTACGGAGAGTCACTTCTGAACAAAAGCGGCAGCTTGCTCCAAGTAATTAAGAAACTGTACTTCATTCAACTATCAGCCAATTTAGTAATGGCTAATGCAGAGTGAACATTACCAAGGCAATGTTGAAACGGCAATAATTGTGGGCCCATTAAGATCTCTACTCCAGATAGGATTTGCTATAATATGTTTCATATATGAAAAATTTATTGTCTGCTATGACTCTCACTGAACTCGTTCTAAAGTCAGCAAAAATCTTTGTGCTACTCATCATGGGAGCGCCAACAAATGTATTTTGAATAGGAGGGAAAAAAACCTGATTAA